ACTGATAGAAGGGATTATGATAAAAGTGATCTCATGGGTAAAATCTATGAGATTATTCTCAGACTTTACTGTGGATGATATAATCAGGAACTGGAGGATTGTAGCATCTTCGTCATCAGCAAAAAAGGTTTTAAGAAATTGGGATCCTCCTGAATTCCTCAAATTAAACTTTGATGGGAGCAGCTTTGGCAACCCGGGTGAGGCTGGAATTGGTGGGTCATAAGAGATGACATGGGGAAAGTAGTGGGGCTGTATTCGGGCCCTATTGGATGGGGAGACTCCATTACAGCTGAACTAAAAGCAGTGGTCTTTGGAATACAAAAAGCCATGGAAATAGGTGTGAGAAAGCTGATTGTAGAAGGCAATTCCAAAGTAATTATAAGCTGGCTAGAGCAGAATGGAAAGACTCCATGGGTGTTCAGAAATGAGATCAAGAAACTTAATCACATTACCAAGGACATGCAGTTATTATTTCAGTGGACTCCAAGAGCAGCAAATGGGTTTGCGGACCAGCTAGCGAAGCAAGGGGCTAATAGGGAACATTGTTTTTGGGCTCAGTTGTAAGGCTGTAAAGCAAAATCTTAGGTAGAAATTTAAAATTCTAATGGGGTAGCCGAGGCTACTCAATTTCTGTACTAATTCTCATCTCATTTTTCTTAATAAAATCACCTTTTCTGATCAAAAAAAAAAAAGATTTGCAATACAAGCTTGAATCTCAAGAAGATCCCAAAAGTTCTCTATGAAGTCTGAATTGCTTGTTTGCTCAAATTCTTGAAGAGAAAGGACCCAGCTTGTGACGTACTTTCCAACCAAGGCCACCACTGCTTCAAGATTCTTTCCTTTTTCCTCAAAAAGCCTCCTGTTCCTCTCACACCAAGTGTCCAACACACTGCAAATGGAATGCAACTCCATACAATTTTAGCTTTCTTGCTTCCTCTGAACCTTGGCCATGAAACAAATATCTTCGCTGTCGAGGATGGCTAGAAAATGGGAACTTCAAGGAGAAATGAGTAATATCTCCAAATAAAGTTTGCCCACTTGCAAGAGAAGAAGAAGTGAAAACAGGGGTGTCAATTGGACTGGATTTGGTCCAATCCGATCCAGTCCAATGTGAGTCCATTATAAATGGACCAGGTCCAACTCAGTCCAATGAATATTTTGGACCATTTTGGACTGGTCCAATTCAATGTCTGGACCATCTAATCTGTTTAAATCCGTTTTGATTTAGATTGGTTTCAACGCAAACCTGGTCCATTGACACCTATATTCTTATCTTATATCAATGGACCAGATATTGGCTTAATCCCACCCAATCCAATATAAATTTATTATGGATGGACCAGGTCCAATCTAATCTAATAAATATTTTGGACCAGACTGGTCCAATCCAATATGTCTTGTTGGTCCGTCCAGTCCATCCAAATAGATTTTGGACTGGATGGGATCTAATCCAAAACCGGTCCACTGACACCCTCAAGTGAAAAGCAATTTCTTCCTCCGACTATGTAGCCATGCTGAATCCCCTGTTTTTCTGGTGTTCTGATGTGAGAACACTGTCCAAAGTGACCAGCCAAGCAAAAGCTTCTACTCTCGGAGGAACTGGATTCCCCCACACCCCACTTATTTGATCACTGGCCATGTCTTCTTTGATGAGAGCCAAGTAGAAAGATTTCACCAAAAACTTTCCATTCCTGCACTCTTTCCACCACAAGCCATCTTCATTCGCTATACAGATTTTAGTTTTCTCTAGCTTGTCCAGCAGCAGTATACACTCCACCTCTCGATCAAGCAGAGGTGATATTATCCAGATTACAAGAAGCTGATAGTTTCAAACCCTACAAGACTGACATTAATTCCACACTCCATGCATTGCCAAAACCAACTGGGCCTGAGTATCTCAGTGGAATCTTCCCACCCGCATCTCTCAATACTCCTCAACTCCTGAAGAACCTGGGTTGCCAAACCTGCAAGCATCAAAACCCAATTTTAATTTCCATCTTCAAGAGGGAATCACACTGCTCTCTGGATCATCTTTCTTCTACTAACAGACACCAAATGTTGCCACCATCTCAACAAATCATTCATAGATACCCCTTTGAACTCATCCAAAATCATAACCCAATGTGCTATCTTCATCTTGAGCTCTATCACCTTTTTTTTATAAATGAGTAAGATTTTATTAATCCAGCAAATAAGAGTTACAGGCAACCCAGGGAAAGGCACAAGATGCGACCTTTCCTTTAAAACTGGTTACAAAATTCTAAGTTCAAATGAAATTACAAAGAATAAAGTAGCCTGATAAACCCCCTGTTTTGCAGTGAGTCAGCCATTGAGTTTGCTGATCTGCCTACCCACTGAACTCTAATTGTCATATCCCTTGTTATCCATTTAACCTTTTTGAGGTGATCTCTATAGCCCCAGATCACAGAAACCGGATCATGCAACCAACCCACTATCACCTGGGAGTCCCCTCTTCAATAAGCAGATGCTCTATTCCTAGCTGGTTTGCAATCTGGATTCCTTGTACAGCAGCATGTAATTCAGCCCTTAAAGAGTCTCCCACACACGCAGGACCTGAACACAAAGATATAATGCTATGGGCTTTATTTCTCAGCACACCTCCTATACTGGAAGGTCCAGGGTTACCTCAGCTACTCCCATCAAAGTTCAGCTTAATAAACTCCTCTCCATGAGATCTGTCAGCTGTTGTACATACATATTTTTCCCTTCAAATATTCTTGCATTTCTTTCACCCCAAATGCACCAAAGTGGTGCACCCCTTACATTTCCATAATACCTTCACCTTTCTTGATTGTGTATATGTCATGTCAAAGAGGAACTACATCTCTAAAGGAGAAAAATGCACTCATTAAGGCTGCTTTGACAAATGTACCGATTTACTGTCCTTTTGTGTTCCAAATACCAACTAAGGTGAGGAACCCTATTTAACAACTGCAAAGGAGTTTTTATGGGATAGAAATAGATGAAGAGAAAAAAGAAACCACCCTATTTGGGCAGAGGCAAAAGGAAGTATTGGATTGGGCTGTAAATCACTAAAAAAACTGCTCTTTGGGGGAAGTGGATGTGAAGACTTCCATGGGAGCAATTAAGCATTTTGAAATTATTCTCTCCATTTTGGCATCGGTTGTGGAGACATATAGGTATGCTCAAAAAAATATCCTACTTTCACTTCTTTTATTGGACCTGGGATTGGTAATGGCCAGAAAACCAAATTTCTTAAATTTCCCTCTAAGCTACATTAAGATGCCCCTTTAGGAATGTCAAGACAGAGCAAGTTGTTTGCTTATCCCTCCTACCCCTAATTGCTCCAATCATTAGGTCCATTTACAACTAAATCTTTTTTTTTCAATTGTCAACTTTAGATTTTATTAATTAGGCAACAAAAGATATATACAATACAAACATCCCTTGGAGAGATGTGAGGTGCAACCTCTCAAAACATCTTAAAAACTAACTGACCCAGTACAATTGTTCCCTATTTACCCTTTCCTCGTCTAATGCATCACCCATCCCATTTGCCAAGCTTCAAACCCATTGTATCCTTAGTGCCATGTTGCTAATTAAGCAAGGGAAGCCCAGTGGACAAGGCACCCACCAATACAGGGTCTGGGGAGGGACAGATGTACACAACCTTACCCCTGTGCACATACAGAGTGGCTGTTTCCAAGATTTGAACCCTGGTCACCCAGGTCGCAATGGAGTAACCCTTAGTGTCATGTTGCTAGTTAAGTTAACCATTTGAATTTCTTGAATTCATCCCTAATTATAGGCTCAAATTACAGTCTCCAGGTTCTTCAACCATCCCACCACTATCCTGGAATGCCTTCAAATATCAGTATTTCCATGTTCAACCCTCCTTTTTACAACTAAATCTTTTTTCCATATATTGATTTCTAACCTCAAGGAACACGTGTTACCATAAAAATGGCTTTTCTTGTTCTACCTAGGGTATGCTTCCTTTTATTGCATGTGTGTGCGGAAGGCTGTAAAAGGAAAGATCACCACTTTTTAACTTACTCATTAATAAAAGAGAAGAATATCCATATGTTCTTACCTCTCCTCAAAATATGTGTCTAAAGAATGTAGAAACTGCTCCAAATTTATCCATTCACTGCAAAGTAACAATAAGATTATAGCATTTCTTTTTGGGTCTAATTAGGATGGAATGAGAGGCCCCTGGAACTATTTCCACGCTTCAATAATGGAGATTTCTGGGGTTAGGCACCAGAGGAGAACTATATTGAAAGGCAGCTATACATGCTGTCATGTGAGGAATCTAGGAACAGATGGGTATTTCACTCTATGATCTACAAAGAAATCTATCATACATTCCCCAATCAACCCCTTTACCTAGAGGATCTCCATCCCTTCACAGATGGGTAGATAGATTACACTTTACTTTGATCATCTCTTGGTAACACAGGTCCATCCAGGAGCAGAGGGGCCTTCAATGATCATAATAGATGCCATTTTAGTACACTTGTGGTCCTATTGGATTGGGGATACAGATGCAGTTAAAGCAAAAATTTTGGCATTACTAACTTGTTCAAGAATTGCAAAGTTTTATTCAACCACCACACCGGCAGTGTTGACTGATTACATTAATCCAATTAGGTGGACCAATATGATTGGCACAGAGACATAGAAGTTGACTCACTGACTAAACAAGTTCAGAGACATCTTAAATTATTCTCTATAGTTACATCTTGGATTCTTAGAGACCTCAACTCAGAATCTAATAGACTTCCCAGGAGGGAGGAGGGCCTTTTTTCATCAAGGAAGGGGCTGCAGTCACTGTTTTGTTTACCTATGTGCATCTCCTTTCTTTATCTAATGAATATATTATGGGTATATAAATTATAGGTTACCTTTTAAGGGGAGGGGGAACATGAGAAAGGGTTATATTTCCTAATGGCAACTCAAAGAATGCATAACTGGCACTGCAGCATAAGAAATGGTCAATAAAGTAAAAGGCATACCATATCTTTCCTGAAACTCAGGCGTGCTTTGTAAGAATTCCAATCCTGGATGAGAGGCCAAAAGTTCTCGAAGAACTGGTTTGAAATCATCCTGCAATCAAGACAAGTTTAAATACAAGAAAGAGATAGGGGCAAAATCAAACATACAAAAAACAATTGCAAAATCAGAAGTAAAGTTCCAAAGGAAACCTTTGTACTGAAACAGAAATAGGTCCAAGTTCAATATATTGCAAGTGAAAATACCACAGTTTTGCAGAAGCAAAAACGGACCTGGGTAAGGTATTTGCGATCCGGTTGCTTTAAGATTGTAAATATTAGGGTTGCTATATCCATTGTCAACATGTTCTTATTGACCCAATAATCAACAAATGCATCCCTACAAAAATATTAGGAGGGCATAGTCAGCACAATTTGTACTTACATGAGAATAAAACTATCAAAGAGTTTTAAGAAAACCTTAACCATCCAATATCCCTTTTTCCACTGCCGCCTACTAAATTTCATAAATGGAAATTCAGTCTTAAAAATACCCACAATCTTGGATAAAAACCTAGTGAACTGTAGTTCTCTGGAAATCCCTCTAGCATGAGTAAGAAAGGGTCCACATACAACAGAATTAACTCTATTTCTCATAAAAAAAGAAACTTATTAATGTTGTATGGATATTGATGAAGCCATTGTAATTGTGTTAAATATTGAATACAAAAACATAATCATACAAAAAGATAAACAACTATAGAAAGTCAGCTTCTGCACACATCTTAAAAGAAAGAAAGTACACATCAAAAAGAGGATAAAAAAATTATTAGGTCCCATAAAACTTAAAACCATTAACCTCCGCCAATATGGATGCTCACAATAATAATAAGTTGGAGATTTTAGCTATCATTAACAACATTATTGCCTTTCTTGTTTTAGTTCTAGTAATTGTTGTTTTTTTATAAATATTCTAGTAATTGTTGTTATATTATTGTTTTTATCAAACAGCAAGAAACTTTCATGTAGAGCAACAATCTTTTTTAATGTTAAGTATTTGTATTACCATAAAGAAGGATGAGAAGCCCTCAAGGAATAATCTTATCAAATACTCTAGAATAAAGGGATTCCATAATCTTAAAAGAAAAAATTGGATGTAATAACATCATTGAGAACATAACAATAAGAGTTGCTCATTAGATCAGCCAACTTTCTTCCAAGAGTAGCTGGTAGGTCTTAGTCATATTGGAGGACTTCTTTTCTAAGCTCTTTTTTTTGTTCATTTTCTTTTCCACTTATATTGTATGTGGCTCATTGTACATTTGAGGCTTGTCAATGTCTTCCACATGTATTAAGAAATCATGTTGCTCTCATTTCTGTTCTTTTCCGCTAATAAAGTTCCATCTTACCAAAAAAAGAAGAGGATGGAAATAAGAGAAAAGAGTTGCCCATTTCCTCAACAAGCAAAGTTTCCATTTCATTAGTTTTCAACCTTTTAATATGGAATCATTTCTAAATGCCCACATATTAGGTCACCACCCATAAGTACTTACACCTTCCACCCTACCAAATTTCACCCTAAAACTCCACCCAAAATCCCTAGTCCCCAGAATTTTGGTGGTTTCTCAAACAGTCAAACTTGGGGAACTATTTGTCTTTTTCTATAAAGCATGCTTAGAATGCCTTCAAATGAACTCACCCTATACACTCCAACATACTAAACATCTCTATAAATTTTCACTGAAAATCAACCTCTACAAATTTGTTTTCAATTTTCTATAACCCTACAGAGAATCTATATCAGCAGTTTGACCCAGGAACTTTCCAATCCCAAGCAATACCTACCTTTAGTCCTCTAATCATTCCTAAACCATGTTCCAGCAGTCAATACCCCCCTAGACTCACTCTTGAATCATGTGTTTTTTTCCTGATCAATAACAGAAAGAGAATACATTAATTAAAAGAGAAATGAGTACAAAGAAGAGAAAGGAAGAGATAAAATATCTTATCGCTCCCTAAGAAAGATGAAATATTACAACCAAGCCCAAAAGAGTCTATTTCTTCCCACCCCTTGTTTTGTCAAAGAATTAGCATCCCTTTCAACCCATTTTAGAGTAACCTCCATCCCTTGTAGCAGCCACTTGATTCTTCTCTTCTCATACATGTAGCCCCACCACTCCACATCCTCTTCCTTTTGCAGCCAGCTAATACGTAACTTTGAATCTCCCTCAATTGATAGCTTACTATTATTCGAATCCTTTGCTTTTTGAATTCCTTACATGACAGCCAATATTTCAGCTCTGAAAGCATCACCTACCCTATTGGACCGGAGTAATGAGCAATAATTCGTCCTTCCTCATTTCTGAAAACTCCTCCAATGCCTAAAGGACCTGGATTTCCTTCACTGCTACCGTCAAAATTTAGCATAATGAAGCCACTTGTAGGTCGGGACCAATATGGCCTAAGAATCTCCTTGAGAGGAGCAGAATCAACTACTTCCCCCCACTTTCTCATCAAATCACCAGCCGGAATATCTTCAAACAGCTTCAAAGTCTTCACCCAATGAACCACTCTGTTAGTTATGGCTTCAAGTGCCTCCCTACTTTTTTTCTTTTTCTAAAGGAATTCTTGATTTCTTTCTTCCTAGAGTGTCCAACAAATAACCGCCCTTGTAGGGGTGCAACTTGTGCGGGCACAACCCAAGCCCAAACCAGCCCAGCCTGAAATTTTACACGGGCTAGGCTTGGATTTTCGGTCCTCAGGCTGAGCTCGGGCCCAAGAAATTGGACTTTTTTATTTCTCGGGCCAGGCTAGGGCCTAGCCCTTAGGTAGCCCGAGCCCGTCCCAACTATATACATATGTGTATGTGTTAATTTTGCATACATACATTTCTATACATATCACAAGTTTGTAAGCATCCCCTGACCCATTTGCACCACCTCTCCCCAAAGTCGCTTTTCCTCATAACTTCAATCAAAAAGTCCCAATCTACAAGATCATAAGGCTTCTCCAAGTCCAGCTTAATCACGGCACTTTTCCTTCCCATTCTTCTTTGCCCTTCCACCCATTTATTTGCTATAAGGATTTGATCTATAATTTCTCTCATAAACAAAGGCCCCTTGGAACTGGGAGATAATAGAGAGAAGAAGCTTCTTAGTTCTTAGGGACAGGATCTTTGCAATGATTTTGTAAATGTTAGTCACTAAACTAATAGACCTGAAATCTTTAGGATGGCGAGCCTCCACCTTCTCAGGGATCAAGGGTAAGAAAGTTATATTGACACCTATTAATTATCCCACAATTATGGAACTCCCTAAAAACTTTGAATAAATCATCCTTGAGTGCATCCCAACAATCTTGATAATGCCAAAGTGAATCCATCTAGGCCCGAAGCCCTTGATTTATCCATTGAGAATACAGCTGCCTTAATCTCTTCTAAGTCAAACCTTCTATCCAGCATCTCCCGATAACTATTGTGTACCGCAGGCCAAAATAGGCCCTCAACATTCCATCTTCCATCTAAAGGCCTTCTATAAATTGATTTAAAGTCATCCTCAAAATATTTTGCTATGTCTTCCTGTTGGGTAACCACCCCATTCTCCAAACCCAGCATTGAAACAAAATTCTTTCTTCTGTTCCCATTAGCAACTACATGAAAAAAAAAAAGTTGTGTTCCCATCCCCCACCTTAATCCACTTGACCCTAGACTTTTCTCATGATTTCCTAAGCTTCATAGTGGACTCTATCATCATGTTTTACTTCTTATTTTATTGGTTTGATTTCAGTGAATTTCCAATTGCTGGATTTTCTTCCCCAGGAGGTCAAGTAGCCCAATTGTGGAAATGAAAAGTTATTTAATATGTTAGACCCCTACCATACATGGAGGTGGCTCCAAAACAATGTTAGAATTGTGTTATTACATATTCAAGCAAATAAATAACGAACAGATAGCTTTCTTGGAAATCTTTAAGGAAGCACAGAATTGGCACAAAAACCCAAACCCATTTACATAAAGCATACACTTTCAATGAATACTGGATTACCTTGTTACAATTCCAATGCAATCAGTATCGATCATTCTGAAAAGGGCACTAGAGAAAAATGAAGGCAATTTGCAGATTTCCTTTGTAACTGCTTTGAACTCTGTCATTAAAAAAAAAAAAAGAAAAGAAGTTTATCCCTCATCAGAAAAGACCACCACCCAAACTTCACACCCTCAACTCCCAAAGCCACCCCCCCCCCAAAAAAAAATAAAAGATAAAGAACAAAAGAAAAGAACCAAATTTAAAATGCACTTAGTAGTGAAAAAAAGGAAAACAACACCCATGTGCACAACTAACCATGAATTTGCAGTCCATCCATATGATCAAAGAAAAGCTGATTAATTCTAAACAAACACTGCTCTTTTAGTTCATTCGGAGGAGGAGGACCATTTTGAAAGTAGAACTGCAATCATTTTAAGTCCTCTATCAAAACCTATCTCCACACATAATATCATGAAATCTGGTCCTCATAAGATTAAGCAGAAAAAGAAATCCAGTATTTCCAAATCAAGGAGGTGGAAACACTTCATTTCAATCATTACCTGAGGAATGACTTCTCTTACTGGTTCACTGACTAATTTTAGTGGAGAAGCTAAAGAAGAAGGGCCTGCCCTCTGTTTCATAAGACGTGGTGAACCTGATGTGCTTCTTGGTGAAAGTGGGGGTGCACTTCCAGCAGGAAACATGGAAGGCAATGAATTGCTTGTAGCAGCATTTGCACAAGTGGAATTGCCCGAGACATTTAAGGGAGTACCTGCCTTTGCATCATCAAGCAAAGATTTTACCTGCATATAATTCCAAAAGAAACAAATAATTTCGGATAAGAAAACTTTCAACAAAATCATCAGGCCTTATTGCAATTTACCTGATGCTCACATAACAAATGTTGTTAAGTCGTTACAATCCATATAGAGCCATAAACATTATGGCACAGTATAAATCTTTTCGAAGTAACATAAGAAGGAAATTAAAAAAAGGTCCCTCACCCATATATTCCTTGTACTCTTTTCTTTCATTTAATGCATTTTCTTTTTAATTATAAAAAGATAAAAAAAATATGCTATATAGGATCAAAGATGTAATACTAGTATTCAAATACCAAGGAGGAATAATAATGCTAAAATGAAATATTCAAATAACCACAAATTACAGAATTTAAATATCAAAACACATGAGCTTTAGCAAGGGGAATCATCTCTGGTAGATGCATCTAACCAAGGTGGTTTCAACTTTCAAGATTGAACCTATACAACATGGAGCATAGTCATTAAGTTTCTCTGCTTAAATATAGGCACATTTCCGGAATACCCTAGGAAATATTTTCTTGTTTAAGGTAATAAAATAAAATTTATTAAGATAAAAGAAAGAAAGAAAGAAAATACAAGAAAGGAGACCAGAAGTCAGCCAAAGGAGAAGAAAAACAAACAGACACCAAACCCACCCTCAAATTACCAGCATATTTCCCCCATACAAAAAAAAAGAGTCCATAAAGAAACTCTTCCCAGAAATAAAAAACCAACATCCCAAGACACATAACAAACCCACAACCCACCTTCAATCTTAACAGAAACAGTACACAAACAAAGGCTAGCCAGCAGACCAGAAACAAGACAAAGACCCCGATCAAGTACTTCTCACCCACAAACTGAATAAGATAAGAGCAGCATCAGTTTTATCTTTTTCTTTTTCTAGCTTTTCCTGACTTCCTGTATTTCAAACCCTTCTTTCTTGGACCGAGCCCAAATAGCCCTCTTTTTAGTCTAGCAAAAACATTTGACACCAATACTGTTTGATGTCTCTTCCGATTCTTAAATCTTCTAATTGCAAGATTATCCTTTAAGCTCCAGCACATCATTAGTCTTCCCGTTAGTCATTTCAAGTCCTAGCACCGAGTTTTTTTTTTTTCAAAGAGCTGACCTGCTTCCAATGCTTCATTCTTATTATTGCTGAAACCTTCAGGTTGAGTGTAATTCTCTTCACCGCTCAAATGAAATGAAAGAAACAAGAACCTTCATTCCAGCTTACATTAGGTCAATCCCAAGGAAATTAGGAAATCCAGCTTAATTGTTGATGAGCTTGCTAGGTCTGAGGTCTGCCAACACATGTCACATCAAATAAAATTTGCATTCAAGTAAGCACCTAGATGGCACACAACTATCATCATATACACTACAAACCACATATGACAAGAACCATCAAAATCAATAGCATGAACCCTTGCTCCTAATCTTCTACATGGCTTTTCCCTTCTTGAGAATTGCATGGTTGCCACTTTACAAACAACAAAAACCTTGTTTTTAAGCACTGAGATGGTACAGATCCCTCAACAAGTACATATCAGATACTTTGGCAATGGCTTCGATTTACAATCATAAACCATAAAAACTACAAAAGAAACAAGGAAATACAATTAAACACTTAAGAGAAATATTGACTTCAAAAATCAATAGTTATATACCCAAGACTAGATCAAAGGTCCCATTTCAGGGCTCACAGAAAACACCTGTGCTTTGACTGCTTTCTTAGAGGCAGTAAAACTACACTCTTTTGTTGAGGATCCATGAAAAAAATGACTTCAATATTTTCTGGAGAAAGACAAAAAGAATAGGAAATTCCTAGCTCTTGGAACTTGAAAATGTGAAGTGTGAATGTGAAGGAATTCACCAAAATAATATCAAACTACGCCTACGGATGGAAACCATATTGCTTCAAGAAATGAATCCCAAATCTAGAGTTTTCCGGGTACAATTAGGACCAGACTCCAAGAAAGCTTTTTGGTTGTATCTTTTAAAATAAGTCTGCTGAACTCTCTTTTTTTTCCATGTTCTTTTTTCTTTTCTTCTATTTCTTTTAGGTGAACTACACTGTTTATCCCCCTGTAGCCTCAAGTCTTATTTTGAAACTTCAAGATGTGAAGGAATTCACCGAAATAATATCAAACGAGGGATGGAAACCATATTGGTTCAAGAAATGAATCCCAAATCTAGAGTTTTCCGGGTACAATTGGAACCAGACTCCAAGGAAAGTTTTTTGGTTGTATCTTTTAAAATAAGTCTGCTGAACTCTCTTTCTTTTTTCCCATGTTCTTTTTTCTTTTCGGTGAACTACACTGTTTATCCCCCTGTAGCCTCAAGTCTTATTTTGAAACCTCAAGATGCAGCAACAGTAAGGAACATGATGCCACACACCTCATGAACATATCAACAGTAGCTCAACTTCATCAAGTTGATTGACTAATCTAATTGGAAATGGATTGTCAGATCCATCAACATTCTAATCGAAATACATCATGTCTCGCTGGCATTATAATGAACAATGATACACCTTCATCAAAGTGTTTTCGTTTTTTCTTTTCGGATTGGCTCATTGGACAACAAAGAGAATATGTAAATTGATATAACGTTTTGTAATTACTACACTCATTTTATAGTTATCACTGTCATCATGCAATCATTGCAATTTTCTCACAATTCACTCCCAAAAGCAATTCATCTTATTGCCATCAGAGGCTAAAAAGCATAAAACAAACCTAAACACCACAAATAAGCTAGGGAGTACATGGAGCATCGAGCAAGACATACGTGCCGCAGAACCAATGAAAACCAAAACTCAGGATAGCCATTGTAATTTTTTTTTTTGTGGTATAAACCATTGTAAAATTTCAAAGAAATAAAAGGATTGCAAAACAAATACCAGTCGACCAGTTTCCGGAAGTGAAAGCCACTGTGAGAAGAGCTCCTCTGCGATGAGAGGATTCGATTTAAGTGCCAAAGGAGACACCTCCGGAAGCTGCAATAAGTCTGGGTCAAGGGACGCCACATCCCCTACGAGTTCCATATCCATAAGAACAAAATTCTGTATCTCATACAACCGCCGCAACAAAACAGAAACCCTAGATCTCAATACCGCAGCCTAAATCACAAATCCCGGCAAAAAAACAAACCTAATTCTTCAAACTCAGGAATTCAGAATAAATTAATATATCTTCCGACAATTCAACCCATTTTTCTTCACCGCCATGAAAGTAGTATCATCCATTTCCTCAAATTCTAGCCACACAGCCCCTACTAGAAAACCCAGATTTCCAGCTTACAAACTTAAACAAAAGCTAGATCTTCAATGCCTCCGAAAACCACCACTTTTGATTGTGCTCCGATGCTTCATATATTAAAACCGAACTCTTCGATCTTCCTCTCCAGAACGAAAAATTGACAGGGGAGATAACGATGGAGGTATCGAAATGGAGGAACTCCACCGAATTTCTCTCAAGAGATCGGATGCGGTTTCACCGAGTTTTTGCCATTTTTGAGCAGAGAATCGAGACTTCGAAACCCTTGTTACGAGAGAGCAGAAAAAATAAATACCCAATTAACATGCGACTTCCCGAGACAAACAGACTATATAACAACTGAAACTTCATAAATGTTCACACGAGTGACGAGTCATACGCACTTACGTACATCTCTTCTATTTTTCTTTTTTTTTATTATATTAGTTACGTATATCTCTTCTATGCCAGACGTATAATATACGGTCTGACGAATATACAACCAACCAACCAGGCACCAGTGCACCTCCCTGGTCCGTACCTGGCGCGTTGTATTTGTTGTCCCACCCAAAGTCCCAGTTTCTAGGGGTGAGACCATGGGCGGGCAAGGCCTGGGCCTAGCAGTTAGCACCTATAACAAGGGCTATAGCCCTGGCTTAGGTCTGTATGGGTCTAGGCTGGACCAGGCCTGGGCTTTGGGCACATTCGATTGAGTTTGCATTCTATAGACCGTTAGAACCATCTTTTACATGGACCCGATTTGAAGGAAAAGGTAGGGAAAGGTTTGTATGGGTTTCCAAAAGGTCCCTTTTTTGTTAGTTTTGCATTAAAATATTGAGTGAAAGGTTCAGATCTAACGCATTGTATCTTCACAGCAATGACCAGATCTGTTTTATTGCTTTTAATGTGATTGATTGCATCCAAAATTTCAATGTGAAATTAAAAACCAACCAATAAAAAAATATTTAGGCCTTGTTCGTTTTTCGATAAATAGGAGGGGGAAAGTTGGTGAATGGAAAAATGATTCCCATTGACCAACTTTATGGTGTTTTTTTTTCGATAAGCTATAGACCCCATGGTAAAGTTAGTTTCTTCACTTATTCAAGTAAGTAATACTTAGCCATAGGTGGGTATGTAACATTCTAGCCTATCGGAAAGTTTACAAAACATAATGGGACAAGTTTGTCTATTCTAACATTGGCTTACCCAGTAAGTGACATCTTGAAAAACCAACAAGGCCTTAAGGTACATGTATTGTTGATCTTGAATCAATTCCACATGTGTTTTTATGATAATTACAAACTCACCATAAGGTTTGATCTAATGGTATATAAGTATATTTAAAGCCTTACAACCTTATGCAGTTTAGATTGTGAAAATTCATTCTTCTAATTAGACCTACTCACAAGTCGGGTTGGGTTGGGCTTTGTCTCCATATTAATAGAATACAATTCAAACCCCAAATGGATTTATTTCAAATAACCCTAAATGGTCTGATATAACGTTGGAGCACAAATTTCAATGACTACGTATGTACTCTTTGTCAGCTTTAATAGGTTAAAATCTAAGGCCATGTTTGGTTTGCGAGAATAAAGGTTTGGAATTGGAATTGGAGCGAGTTGTTCCGATTCCAGTTGTTTGGTTGAGCGGAATTGGAATCCCATTCCCATTCTTGCAGGAATGGCATTCCCCCATTTGAGGGAATGGCCATTCCCTGCCCCTCCCTTGGGAATGAAATCCCATTCCCATTCCTGTCTGAACCAAACAGACAATGGGAATAGACTATTCCGACTTCGATTCTCGTTGCGAACCAAACAGACTCTAAGCAACTCTTTCTCCAACATAAACTACTTATTTGAAGAACACCAATCTTGTACTATGAAATCTAGGTGTTTGTTTTTCTTTTTTCTTATACTTTTCATCAACTATAATTGGAGAGGTCTTAAAGCACTTTCCCCTTTCTTGCCAACCACTTGGACTTGAGCTTTATAACTTGAACAATATTTTTCTTCATTCTCTTACAAGCCTTTAGAGTGATAGACCCTTGTAGTATTGGAACTATAAATGTTCATGGGCTATAGGTAGCCCAACAAGCTAGCCTGACCCAACTTGTTCAAAGTCAAGCTTGGACATAAATTTAGGCCTGCGAGCTCGGGCTTAAGCCCAAAACACCAGGCCTTATTTTTTTCAATCCAGGCTCGAGCTTTTTTGAGAAAGATTGACTTTATAATGAAACATTTCATTAATTTTGGGTTTTAAGGTCTTTTAATATAAATGAAATAGTTTTTTATTGAATAAGAAAATGAACAGTGCAAACAATGATTGAAGAGGTTGTCTTCTATTTATAAATGCTTCGCAATGTCAAATAAACAGCGATAAACTAAGTAATTAGTAGCTATAAAAGCTTCCATTTTTTTTTGTGAAACTCGTTAAATTTAAGACCATCCATAAATAAATTTTGTGACTTGCTTTGCCTTCTAATTTGTTTCACTCAAGAATTTCATATTTTCATTGGACTCTAACATTAGATCTATACGGTGTGCAAGACAAGGAGTCTAATACAATTTCAACCTCTCTTCTATCAACTTTTTTTTCTAACAAGAACATAACTTGACTGATTATCTGTGATTACTTGAACGGAATTATCCGCTCTTACTTCTTCAACAACATCATCAAGATATTTAAAAAGAAGCTCCCCATTTTTAATTGAATTTGATGCATTAATAGATTCAAAAAACATTGTACCCCTTAGACTATTTACAAAAAAATTGATAATGGATTTATTTTTCCTACCAGTCCATCCATTAAACATAAATTTGCAACCATATTCCTTCCATGATTTCCTATATTACTCCATCAATTTATCTATATTATTCACTTATTCTTTCAAGATCCTAGTGTGATATTGCATGGATGGTGGCTTATAACTTGAACCAAAATTTGCAATTGCCTTATACATACTATTGAAATAAGAACTATTTGCTAAATTAAAAGATAAAGCATTGGCATAAAAGCATCTTTTAATAGCCCTATCAACATCATTTTCTTTTTTGTTTCCATTATGAATTTAATGTTTGTTGGCATGGCTCAACTAAAACAAATTGATCAATTGGGTCTACCGGTTATGGTGGAAATGATTGTGGAGTCCTACTTCAACTTCCACTTTCCACAATAGACTCCTCAAATCTAGAATTAGGAGCCACAAAACTTTCATGTTGAGGAGTCATAGAAGGTGTACGATTACACCTCCCAATACTAGACACAAAATTTGACTTCTTTTACTCCATTTGAAATTCAGTTAGTGCATTTGGACATTTTAATTTTACCCCTTTAGGGCATCCTTTGCACTAACCCATTCCATGTTTGATGCCAACCAAACGATGTTTTAATCGATTTATGCATGCATAATAAATATATCCTTTCCCCCTCATCTTATTCAACATACTTACATGCAAAATCCTTTATAGACATTCTAGGCTCTAGATAAAATAGAGGTTAGAGAAATTATCAAATTGCAACACCTAATCAAATTTAAAAAAAAAAGTATGAGTTAAATACTTCAATCTATCACTTCAAGTTTCTACTTTCTACAAGCATTCAGATTCAAGTAATTCAGAAACAAGAAATGAGTTAGTGCATACATATACATAAATATATATATATATATAATTGATAATTTTATATATAAATACATACATATATATACATATATATATATATACATATACATATACATATACATATACATATACATATACATATACATATACATATACATATACATATACATATACATATACATATATATATATATATAACAAAAACAAAGTAAGAATAAATACAAAAAGTTTTTGCTAGATTATTTTAATTTTTATAATTTATATCAATAATAGAATAGAGTTAGTAGATTAAATTAACATGTTTAAGGTTTAGTGATTCCAATTTAAAAATTGAAATTGTTATTTAGTCACACTCAAGGAAAGGACAATCAATTATTCATTTATTAAAAGAAGAGAAGATAGAACATAAAAGTTACTTGAAGAGTTGTAGTTGAAGGCCGAAGCAACGATTAGCAGTGTGGTGTAGCTGTTTGGTCATCTTAATGTCTTAAAAATAAGAAAAAGAAAAAAAGTGTGAGACTGAAGAGAGTTGTGTGGCGTTGTTCAAGCTCATGATTGAAAATAGTGCTATCGAAATGAAAAAGAATGGAAGAAAAATAATAAATAAAGAAAATAAAAAAAAAACCATACATGGCCATTACAACTTGATGGTCAAAGTTAACACTTTACAATAGTCAGCAGGTTTGTAGTTTCATAACTGTACAAGTTCACTCAAGCCCTTTATTCATTTGCAAATAAGAACAAAAAGAAAAATAAAAATACCCATATGTGACGTTGAAGAAGAAGAAGAAATAAAGAAAAAAAAAAGAAAAAAAAAACACCAAACCTGACTATTGTAGTTTGAGAGATTGATCACAGTGTGGAGTAGGTTTGCAGGTCATATGTGAGGCATATGCCTCTCATCCAAGGCATGGTCAAAGCATATGCATTTGGACACGCCTCTTTACATGAGGTGTACACTTCATGTGTCTAAATGCTTCTCCTATGCGCCTCTGTGCATTTTGGGTGCACCTCCAGGTGTATGCCTCTTATGCCTTTTTATACCATTGTATAGAATATGTATGTCCATTTAAAGAAGATGTCATACATGATTATTTAGTAATCCATGGAATATATAACTCTACTAGTAGACGGAATATACAATACATCATCATTTCTTCACTCGATAAGGATGAATTATCATAACTATCATCACTTGATTACACCTTTAATGCATTGAAACATACATATAAATTTTTAATATCATCCAAGTTAATTGCATTATAAGGCTATATATAAATTAATACAAATATCATTAATTATAAATATTATTGGATGGATATAATGCAAAAAAAAAACAATAATTCAATAACAAACTACCAAGTTAACTTTGACATGAATGTATGAATCTAAAATTTGTCCAAAGTATGTGATGCCACATAAACCATAAAGTAAAGTCAATAAACATGAAAGTTTAACATAAAGATCTAAACCAATACAATTGTAGTACAAACTAACAAATGAGAGGAATAACTTAGCTAGAACATACTAATTGCTTGGTGGTTCATTTCCTTAAAGAATACAACCAAACAAGTCTTAGTTCTAGTGTCGTTGTGATGAAAGACTCCTTCTACTTCATATTGTGGAATTATTTAGTCAACTTTAAGTAACAATAGCAGAGGATTTGCGAAACTTCAAAATTTTCATTAAGAATCAATATACACCATTGAATA